TTCAGGAGACTTGTGATGTACAGAAAGGGTAGTTGTTCTGGGTGGACTTTGACTAGAGAACTAAAGATAACATAGCGTAGGGAAAGCAAGGCTTCAATTTTAGCAAATGATCCAGAAGAGTGGAACTTTAGAAGAAAGGAATTAAATCAAAGGCACTTAAATAAGAAGGGAAAAGTGGTACGAGCTGACAGGCAGTTCCCCAGGGGTCTTGGTCTTTATCCTAGAGATCCTGAGAATATACTGAATGGCTTTCCACAGATCTGCACAAGACCAGACGTGTGATTTTTAAGGGATGGCCTGACTACAGTATGGACAGAGGTGGCACACTGACCATATGAAAGGAAGCCAGCGGGGTACCTGCTACAGTTGTCCAGGTGAAGTGGGAATACAGAGTGGCTGGTGGCTACAGGGAAAGGGACTGGCTGTGATGTGAGCCTCAACAGATATGCTTGAAGGTTGCTAGAATGAATGAAGGGGATTTCCTAGAAAGCCTACTTTCAAAGAGGGATATATCATCTCACCACACTAAATGCAATATTCATTCCACTAGTGGTCGCCAGAGGCTGCACAAAGAGTACATGGCCTGGTTTGTGTTTGTGCAACTAGGTAATGTCAAGAGCAGATGACAACAGCAAAGTCATTTGCAGGGGACTGGGAGACAATCATGGATTAAAGCATTTGCTGAACAAGCATGAGCACTATGAGCACTAGGGTTTTGAACCCCACAATGTATTTAAGTGTCAGTGGGCATAGTTGCCAGTCTATAATTCTTGCCTGGGAAGATGGGGATACGGGATCCGTAGAGCAAGACTAGTCATACCAATGAGTTCCTGGTTCAACTGAGAAAACCTGTCACAATGGGTAGGGCAGAGGAATGCTCAGTGATAATTCCTGACATCAACCTTGTGCCTCCACACATGCATGTGTACAAACACAAACATACACCTACACACATAAACACACACATCAATATCCCTAAAGAGTTCTTACAGGCTGGGTGTGGTAAATACCTGTAATTTTAGTATTTGGGGAGCTGAAGCAAGGATGTCAAGTTTGGGAATAGCTTGGATTCTGGCCAACTAAGGGAGATTCTGTTAAAAGAAAAACATGTAGCTCATATAGCCCACTAGTACAACACTTTCAGAGTCTATGTGACCCCAATAACACTCTCTCTCTCTCTCTCTCTCTCTCTCTCTCTCTCTCTCTCTCTCATAAGTGCACAAAACTATAAACATTAAATCAGACTCTGAAGTAACAAATATGTGTATTTCTAGAATGTTAACTGTACTTCACTTTAGAACTAACAGTACCAGATGCAATTCAAATTCCACCAATAAATTAAGATCAGCAATGTTTAATAGAATACTATTTTGTAGTAATCAAAATAGCAATGTGGACCTGGAATAAGTAGAAAAAAATCTTGAAAAAGAGTAACAAATTACAAGACTTAAGCTTTCTGATTTCAATACTTACCACAAAGCTATAGTATATCAAGAGGCTGTAGAACTGGCACCAGAGACAGACACAAACAACAGAGTCAGAACAGAAGAGTCAGAAATAAACCAGTATTAATGTTCAAATGATTATTGACAAGATCACTAAGCCCATTCAATGTGCAAAGTAGTCTTTTAACAAATGGTACTAAGGAAACTCGACATCCACATGAAAATGAGATTTAACATGAACTCAAATAGGATCAAGTTCCTAATACAACTGTTAATTTTTTTTTTTCCGAGACAGAGTTTCTCTGTGTTGTTTTGGAGGCTGTCCCTGAAACTCGCTCTGTAGACCAGGCTGGCCTCAAACTCACAGAGATCCGCCTGCCTCTGCCTCCCGAGTGCTGGGATTAAAGGTGTGGGTCACCAATGCCCGGCTCAAACGTTAATTTTTAAAGTTCTATTGAACTTCTGTTTTTAAAGGAAAATTTCACAAAACAGGACTTGGCAATGGCTTCCACAGGCCATACCATCATAGCATCAGCAATAAAAGAAGAAAGTGGTATTTTCAATTGAGCCCATTCAAAACCACCTATACATACCAAGGTAAACCATCAAGAGAGGGAAAAAAACAAACGAATGAACTTGAGAAAATATTGTTAATTACATAGTCAATAAGGAATTAATATCCATAGTATATAAAGCCTTCCAGCAACAACATTTCCCCCCAAACTTCCTGGTTAAAATATGGGTTAGCCATATAAACATGTCTCCACACACGATAGCCAATGAATATATATGAAAAGATGGCTGGAATCACTAACAACTAGGGAAATGGCAGAAAAACAACAAATCAAACCACAGTTAGAGATTGTTATTATCAAAATATCAGGAAATAATGGTTGGCAATGATGTAAAACAAATGAAACCCTCATTCTGGTAAGGATGTAAAATAACGCTGTCATGGAGGCAAACAATATGTTAGTGTCTCAAGAACAAAATCAAAAGATTTACCCCGTGATCCAGAAATTTCTAAATATATATTCAAAAAAGCAAAAACTCTTGAAAAGATTATTATATATCAATGTTTGCAACAACATTGTTCATAACGGCCAAAACATGGAAACAGTTCATCAGTAGATGAATGAACAGGTAAGGTGACATACACTGGAAGATTACAAAAGATGTGAAATTCTAATAAATGTAACTATAAGAATGCTGCAGATGTAAATGTAAGGGAAATAAGGCAGAGGATAAAATGTCAAATATTATGTGACTCCTCTCATGTGAGATACTGACAGTAATAAGAACAACAGTGCTACAAAGCAAGACCTCTATTACTAGGTAGGGTGTCAGGCTAGAGGACGAAGACACATTTTTCATGGATGTAAAGTTCCAGACTGAACAATGAAAAATTGTACAAAAATGTGAGCACATTTATGCTACCAAAAGCGTACATTTGAAAGTTAAATAGTAAATTTTATCTGCACCTTAAAACAACAGACTTTTTAAAATGGTGATATATGAAATTATTTTTAGAATAATTAGGTAGGGGGAAGGTTACAAAATTGTGTATACAATAAGATCACTTTGTCTTTTGAAAAGAAACAAACCTTTTCTTCACACAAGCCTGAGGACATTTTTGTAACATCTTGGGACTGTCTGTGAGAGAAGCTGAATACTGAGTACTTAGTCTCTTCCCTCAGCAGTCAGGGCTGGGATGGGAAGGAAAGGCTGGCTTGAGTACTGAACAAATCACCTACTCCAACAGCTGCATCAGGGACAGGACTCACAGAAAGTAGCTCTAGTCTTTTTCCTGCTGTATCAGATAAAATGTTAGACTGGTCAGGTCTACTTAGGTACAATGGATACCAAAAAAACCCTATGGCTTTTCTCAGAATTTATGCCAAGTCTACTTAGGTACAATGGATACAAAAACCTATGGCTTTTCTCAGAATTTATAACAACATTGAGTGGCTAATCAGAGAGCACTGTCTAAAGCAGTGGTTCTCAATGTTCATAATTTCTTTACTACAGTTCCTCATGTTGGGGTGAACCTACCCCAAACATGAAAGTATTTTGGTGCTATTTCATAACTGTAATTTTGCTACTGTTATGAATTGTAATTTAAATATCTGATATGTGACTCTTGTGAGGTCATGACCCACAGGTTGAGAGCCACTGGACAGCAATACTGCTGGGTTTGAAAATGCCATTTTCTGGGGCCTAGATAGATGGCTCAGTGGTTAAGAACACTGACTGCTCTTCCAGAGGACCTAGGTTCAATTCCTAGCTCACAACTGTCTGCAACCCCAGTTCCGGGGCACCTGACAACCTCACAGAGACATACATATATGCAGGCAAAGCACCAATGCATATAAAATAAAAATAAATAAATAATTTTTAAAAATAGTTAAAAGTGTTAATTATATATAGAAAAAATGTCATTCTCTGAAGCCTTTCAGTTTGGGCAACAAAAACGACTTGTTTATCTATCATCCATATAAAGTGAGTACTCTATAGAACAAGGAAGGTTTTGGAGGAGTACATAATTCAGTATTTTTCCTAAACAGATGCACCGTTAGCATAATGGGATTCACAACAGTCTACCCACTGTAGTCTGATAATTACCATGCACTGACTATATTTGTAGCACAGGCTGCTATGAAATGCTGATTTTAAGAAACAAACAAACAATGAAACAGAAAAACAAAGCAGAAGACTGAGGGAACAAAAAAATATTGCAGTGGAGGCCACAAGCACTATGTCTGTATTCCAGCTCTGCCACTTATCCCTCACAAGCATTCTCACCTAGCATGTCATTGCATCTTTATCACAGGGACCAAGGTAGGTACTGTGGACAGGATAAGGGGAAGGTAGTAAATAAGCTATAATCTCTGTCCTGAGATGACCTTGTACTTGTCAAGACACTAAATCTAGACTCTCAGCTTCCTCACCTGATACTTAACAACACACCTCACCATGTCATCATCACAGGTACAATCTCAATGTTGGTGCCCTTCAGGTTTTGGAGCTAGTAGTCTGTTATGAAGGGCTTTCTCGGTGTCCTGTGGATGTAGTGTCGTCCCTGGCCTCTACCCACTATGGGTCAGCACATCCCACCCCTTGCCAGTAATGACAACCAAAACTCTCTGCACACATTTCCAAATGTCCCCAGGGAATAACATTGCTCCTGTTTGAGAACAGCTGAAATAGAGTGACATATGGGAAAACATTGTTAAAAGCATAAGACACCAAATCAGTTTATGTCAGTATTAATTTGAATCCATTTGTAAGACTATTTGCCAAAAAAAAAAACCCAGACCTTTAAAATTTTACAGTTTCCTTAAGAATGTTTTATTTGCTATTTTTATATATTTTGCCTACTATTAAAAGCCCTTTAGGGCTTTTTGGTGAATTTTTGTTACTCAAACACAGTATCTTCATTACAGCATATTTTTTTAATGTATCACTATGCTAACAAGACAGAGTCAAATATAATTGCAATCTCTACAAAGCAGAAATTTTATTTCTTTGTCCAAAATCGCAGTGCTTGTTGCCTACCTTTTAAGGACAAGGGACTGGATCTTGTGAATTCTGCATTTGAAGGCCTGTGCTGCTTATAAATGCCCACGTATTCCTTAACTCTGGAATCAATGGTTTCTTTTAACAGCAAACAAACTTCCTAAAGTAAATTTAAAACATTAGACATTTAATGCAATGAAAAGAAGAAAACATTACACACATTGAAAAAGCAAATGGTGGCATTTAGCTGACTTTTTAACATAGATGGCAGTGATGAAAGGAATCCTGTACCATCTTCTGGAGGGCACTGCCCATTAAATGTGCTATCAAAGACAGCTCCATGACTGATGCTGGTTCACTTTATTTTCTCTCCGCCTCAGTTTCACAATCCCAAAAGGAAGATTTAAAAGCTTACTTCAAAAGTGGGGTGTGACTTCAAGAATGTTTTCATCTAAGTATCAGTCCACCAAACTGTGATGGATAGAAGGGAAAAATCACATGGAGTTGTGTACACTGGTCAGCATGGGACTCAGGGGGTACTCACAGAGGCAGAATGAGTGTAAGAACACGTCTATTGTCAGCACAGGTGGCATGGACAGGTCACAGCTGCCACTAGCTCTGGCCTTACTGTCTCACTGCACTGGTGTCCTTGCAGGCACAGTGTTACCCAATGTTATTTGTATAAGAAGAGCCATTCAAATTTATTTTCTATATTTTATTCTTGTGTAAACACCATCATTCATTAGTTTCTGGCCTTGGGTTTTCAAACACAAGAGAGTCAGAGTGGTGGGTTAAAAAGAAGTGGGGAGAGGGAAGTGTTGTCTCATTCTTGTGATGATGTCGTAGACCCAACTGCTTTTTAGAATCACATTAAAATTCTTCAATCATGAATGATATAGATCATATCTGTGGTGTTGATTAATGTTATTAGGTAGCAGAACCAGGTTTGAATTCCATTTCAGCATGCTGCATTATTAATAAATTTCTAGGGATATCAGTTGGCATATAATATTTGCAAAGAACAACAACAAAACATAACTCAGAAATTCAACTGCACAGTAGGTATCAATATTCTCCTTGGTGTTTCCTGCATTACCAGGAAAATGTAATTTATCATAGGAAATCAGGGGAAACTACATATGAAACTGAAACTTAATGAGTCATAAATGCCAGACCAATTCCCAACACTTCTGTGGCAGATTCAGAGTTGCTTAGGACATCTCAAACTTGTTCCACTTGTTTTTCAGAAAGACAACCACAGGTTAATCGTTGAGACTCTTCATAATTACAACATGTTCAGTTGCTTGTTCCTTTATTACAAATAATCCTTAAACAGTATATAAAACTCTTGATTTAACACAAACATAGACATTTCTACATAAAATACAGATACCAGTCTCCTCTCTCTTGCTTTTTATTTGCAGCTAAAAGATGCAGTTCTTTGTAGAATATAAAGATACCCATTTACAGCTGAAAGTTTTGGCACTGTTCACATAACACAAAGGCAGCCTTGCCTCATACTGTTGTTCTAGCAATTAAATAATTTTTGCTTAACATGCAGAGTTCAACTATGACTGAGCTAGAAAATATGTGGAAGACACACAAGGCAACAAGGATTGTAAAAATTTGGCCATAAATACCCTATAAGGATAGAACTAAAAATAGTATGACAAAAATAGAGCCCATACACATGAAGTTTCTCATTATATTTCAAGTGTTCCTTATGGGAACCAGGTTTCAAGAATTAAAGATGGGCAATGTAAAGAGATGGCCAATACCTAAGAATTAATTTGCCAGGCTGGCACAGCATCTTCTTCAGACCTGGAGCAATACAGGAGAATAAAACATCCAGCAATATCTGAGAGGAAGGTTAGAGGACCAAGTAAAAATTCACAAGCGAGCAGACTCCCTATGCTAACGGGCTCGTGTTTGCTCCCTCAAGTTTACAAATGGGACAATTTCATTTTGTCTCTTTGAGTCCAAAGACTACATGAGCTGGACTCAAACGAAACATGTTTAATATATGAACCAAGCCCTCTTTTCATACAAAGTGACTGTTAAAATGTAATCAAACTGGATGTTTATGAAACTCCAATCATGAGATGATCTGAAGATTAAAAACAAGGAAGCGCTGACTGAACATATGTGAAGTCATAACCTTTCTTCAAGTCTCCTTTTGAAGACAAAGAAAGAAATTATCTCTGACTAACTCTAATATCAGTGAACACATATTGATGGAACAGCTTTAAAGAGAGGTAGCAAATTATTGACTTTCCTTTGAGAGGGAAGCTCAGCTAGGGAGAGTAAGCAGATCTCTTACAGTCACCACTGAAGCAGCTCTCTACAGGTCCCATCATGCACCTCTGCTAAGTCATGCCTCACTGCTCTGGAGTAGGCCCTGTTGGAACAACGCAGCTGCATGTGGCACCCTGACAAGAAATCTAGCCTCGTGCTTTCCAGAGGAGGTGATTCACATCATCTTGGCTCTAGAACATTCCATATCAACCATTTCTTGGTCAAAATTGCCTAAATATCAACATTAAAGGTCTACAGCTTAAGTGTTCAAACTGTGGAAGAATATGGGAAAGGTGGGTCTGAAATGGTGCGTTTGAGAACCTTTCAGAAGTCCTTAGGGTAAGATCCCTTGTAGGAGATATTAGTCGTTTGAGAACCTTTCAGAAGTCACTAGGGTAAGATCCCTTGTAGGAGATATTAGTTGTTGGAGAACCTTTCAGAAGTCACTAGGGTAAGATCCCTTGTATGAGATATTAGTCACTTTGGAGACATGAATGCACTAATTTGAATCATATGGGCATGCATTAGTAACCTACAATTTGAGATTATAAGAAGAATAGTGGAGAGAAGTCCTGACATCCTACATATAATGTCCTCAAGAAGACAGTCCATAATCAGTTCCCTTAATGATAAATTCATCACATGAAGCCTTCTGTTTTCTTCTCAGCATGAGGCTACTAGGTATCCTTGCAAAATAAATACTACAAAGTACTGGTGGTATTACCATTTGACTGAAAACGTATTTTTAAAACTAATTTTGGGTTGGTAGGTTTTAGTGAGGTGAACAAATGATCACAAATAGCATTTCCCCCTTTACTGTTAGTAGTTTCCTTACTATTACTGCCTAATACAACTTATTCTTACTTACTTCTCTAAAAGTAACAGCAGATAAATACTATGAGGGAAATGAAGAACAGTATGTTTTGAAGGTTTTTAAATTACATTTACTCATTTACTTGTAATGTGTATGTGGTCTGTGTGCACACACATAACATGGTGTACATGTGGAGGTCAGAGGACGACTTACAGGAGTTGGCTCTCTCCTTCCACCTTTGCTTGTCCTGGGAATTGAAGTCAGGTCAGGATTGGGTTGCAGGCACCTTTACCCACAGAGCTACCGAACTAGCCTGTTTTGAAGCTTTTGAACAGGCCTCCACCTCAGGACAGATCCCTGATCTCCACAGAAGGAAATAATGATTCTCCATTACAACAGCCCATAGAGAGGGAGTTAACACCACAGGAGACTGAGGCCTTATCTGGTCAAACTCCTTAATTTGAAGACAGAGGAAGCAGAAGCTTCTGGGGAGCTCAAATGTCATAGAAGCAAACCTTACAAACCTTGGGTAGAAGCACAGGAAGAAACTTGAGGACAACTGGTGACTCTCCTGTAACTTAACTACTGATAGCTGTTTTTTTGTTTTTGTTTTGTTTTTAAGATTTTGATTTTGATGTGTGTGTGTATGTGTATGTATATGCTGGGAACTTACCTTGGGTCCCCAGGAATGAGTTAACTCTTTAATAAATAGCTAACTATTGACTGGAAAGCCTTACTATTAGGAAAAAAATAATTAAGTGACACATTTTCTACTTTAGATGGATTATACATTGTTAAAAAATACTTAGGGATGATAGAGACTTTTTGTTTACTCTGGTATGCAATTTAGTAGGAAGACAAACCGCTCATGGCAACAGTCGCTCATCTAGTTTTAAGCTAACCCTACCATCTGAGGTCACTCTAAAACTTAATCAACTATAGCAAATTTTGGTAGTAAACAGTAAAATAATTACATTTTACTTAAACATTTCAGTATTTCTATGCTATGGAAGTTCACCCACAGTTTTTGTTTCTGTTTTCAAATTCTTCTAAAATGTCACACATTAGCAGAGCAGACCTATATACTCCAAACCTGTGTTGTTCACAGCCAATCCATTCATGCCAACTATCTGCTTTACTGGCTGGCCAACAGCAGAGTGGGGAGAGTGAAGTTCCTCTTCACTTGTCAAAGGCTCATGACAACGAAAAGAGGCGAAGATGAAAGTAAGGATTAATACAGATGTGGAGATTAGCATTGCGTGACTTCCTCACCTGCTCCAGGTGCTGCCAGCCTTCTCATTAGAATTAGATTAGAATTTTTGTTTTAAATAAGAGAGCCTGGGATGAGGACATACAGATGGTAAAGTACCTACCAATCATGTAAAGGTCCTAGAGTCAATCCCTAACACCACACACACACACACACACACACACACACAAAACCCAGGTCAACAATAGATTAGGATATGAAACAAATGGCTGTGTCAATTTCTCAAGGGCAGAGATGGGCATACTCCTACTTCTCAGTAGTTAACTGTCACTCAACTTTTAAGAAAAACATTAATGAAAATGAAAGCAGAGAAGCATATCTTGTAGCGGGTACAACAAGAAACAGTGTTTAAATAGCAAAAATTTTTGCTGTACCTCTTTCTTCTGTTCAGAAAACCAGCTGGAATCTTTGTTTGAACCTTGTGGCACTATATGAAGATCCACGAGGACAGCAAAATTTCCACACTGAAAGAGAAGGGGTGAATATTTATTAATGGCAGAATGTGTCTGCAGCTCATGCCCAGTAGACAACTGCAAAGAATCTCACAAACTCCACACACAATAAAACAGCAATAGAATTTCTCCTGGATGGAATCTCGGCATTGCTACTAATGTTCACACGCTCATATTTATAGTGAAAATTCTAAGAAGAAATATAGGCTTAACTAGGATAGAAATGACAAAATAACTGTCTCTAGACCACAACTTCAAAGAACCAGAACTCTCAGTGGCAGCTGGAAGTCTGCCAAACAGGGCAGTACTAGGTAGGCTTCAGACAAGAACAGTTCTGCGCAGAGACATCTTTTCTCCTCAGTAGTGAAGAATCTGTGTAAGCTATTGCCTTTTGATAAGGAGTTAGATGGACCGAAGAGCTTGGACTAGAAATCAAAATGTAGCTTACTGACATTTTAATTGTATTTAAAATAAATTTGGTAGTTCTATGTAGCTAATGTCTGCATGAGATATGGATCTCATGAAAAAATGTAGCCAGGCTACAGAGATGGCTACACTGGGGAAAGTGCCTCCTATGCAAGCATGAGTACAGCCCTGATATGTACTTCAAGTCCCCAGTGCTGGGAGTGCAGAGACACGCAGATTTCAGAAGCTTACTGGCTAGTTAGTCAACCTGAAACGGCAAGCTTCAATAAGATATCCTGTCTCAAAAAAATAAAGTGAAGATTAATGGAGGAAGATGCTGACCGCTGGCCTCATGTAGGAACTCACACCAAGGAGACTGTAGTGGAGAACACACGCGCGCGCGAGCGCGCGCACACACACACACACACACACACACACACACACACACACACACACACAGGCACGCATGCACACAGAGGCTGTAACGTTACAAATCTTCACATCTCATGAGTCATTTCTGAGAGTCCCAAGATAACCGTAAACAAACACCATGGAAAGGAAGGAATGTACAACCAAGACCATAGGTTGAGGATGTCCAAGAGGCCCTGAGATTTAGTCAATAGACATGTAGGAAAGTCCCCTTTATAAATCTCTAAAGTCTTTAATTTTATTTTGAAACTTTTGTGAAAACATGGTGAAAGCAGATTTAATGAATGGTGCTAGGGCATCAGATACAAACACAGAAAGAAAGTGGACCTCAACTGCATCTACTCACTACCAGACACAAAATGTAATTTGAGATGGATTACACATGTAAGCATGAAAACCAAAAACTATTATTCTCATCATGAGGGTAGGAGAAGATTTCTTACGTATGATCTAGAAGATGTGAAACATTGAAGGAAAAATTGTTGATTAAACTGGACACCAGCAAAAGAAGAAATGTCTGACCATCAGCAATTTCAACAATGGAATGTTATGTGTGCTGCAAACTGGATAAAATCCAGTCATAAACACAGATGTCTGACTGACATGAAGGACTAGTATCCAAAATACGGAAACAATTTCCACAAACTGGTAGATTATCTTAAATTTAAGCTCAAATATATATCACCAATATGAAAAACACGGAAACAACTTCCACAAACTGGTAGATTATCTTAAATCTAAGCTCAAATATACACCACCAATATGAAAAATGGATGACTGCACATGGAAAAGTGTTCACCAGTCAAATTCAGTTCCTAATCAACAGCCATAGTCACAAAATACACAGTAAGTGCAAAGACCAACACCACACTAAGTGGCAGGAAGGAGAAAAGCAACCCAAACTGACACACTGGTGGGAATGGAACGGGGTTGAACCACTTGGGCAAACGGTTTGCCAGTTTCCTACAATTAGCCAGGTACTTACTGACAGGCCAACAAGGTCATTAGGCTAGCCAACAAGGCCACCCTACAAGTTTACCTAAGCAACAGAGCTTTGTTCACACTAACCCAAACTGAAGGCAGACTCAAGGCCTATCAACAGGGAAAACAAAACAAAACAAACAAACAAACAAAAAAATTAGTCACACAATGGAATGGCATTCACCAAAATGCTGACACAGTCAAAATGGACTCATCTGAAAAGCGGAATGAGCTAAAGAGGCTGTACCAATGGATGCTTGCTATGTGGCTCCGTGACAGGAAGTTCTACAACAGCAAAAGCCACATGCCAGGGTAGTGCCTCAGAGGCATATGAAGAAGCCACATGTGGTGTCAGGAACATGCTGGGACCTAAAGGGAATCCTGGTTGCACACCTAAAAGCAGTTCTTCTCTTCTTACACTATAAACAACTTTAAAATGTAAGTATTGAAATTTAAGAAAAGCGGCTCAAGAGAGAAAGACATCATGCAACAGAGTTCAAGCAGAGGGTTTATTATTAGGGGAAAAGGATTGTAAAAAGGGGAAAGGGGAGAGGGGAGATCGGCCTCCAGAGACAGGAGCAGCAGGAAAGAGACAGAGAGAGACACAGAGGGAGGGGGAGGGAGGGGAAGGAACATAGTGACTATGCACAGGTGGTGCTCCTCGTGGCTGCAGCTGAGGCATGTCCTGCTAGGACCCCAAGGACAGGTCAGGACAGATGCCTGAATACTAACAGTATAATGTCTGAAATTGTGTGTGTATTATATGGCCTCTTATGAGGCCAGTGTACTGTGGCTGTCTGAAGGCAACTTAGTTTGAAGCATCTAGAATTTTATTTTAATTAAAGAGATCCAAGAGGATATTAGAAAGTCATGGTAAGATTGAGGACTGCTTTGTGAAATGCAAGTCTGTGTATGAGTGATGATGAAATGCCCATTTCTTTTTGTGGGTTGTAGTAAAAAAAGATGTTTGAAAACCCTACTCAAGTATATTGTTATGCTTAGAATTTCTTTCCAGTTGATTACAGACCTACCCTTTAGGGAATATACTGCCACCAGGTGGAGGTCATATGCCACAACTACAAGATCTTATCTGGGGGATATAAACATTTGGTGTGCCATGAATTTTTCTTTAGTCAACTGAAAATCTGATAAAATGTTCCCAGGATGTTTTTTAAATACATAAAATATAAATTATGGGATTTACAAAAAACCTGATTACACTGAGGTACATTTTTCAAAATCTTAAAAAGTGACCCCAAATTTGTGGTACAGTAGTAATGTGTGCGTGTTTTGCAGGCAATGATTTGTACCACAAGCTGATGGTCCCAGTGACAACAGCAAACTGAAGGCAATGAAGTGCACCTCTGGCATTTTCAGAACCTGCAATATCTCTAACCACAAAGAGTTGTGATTTCTAGTGGTCACTAGCACTGCTAAAGCCACTATATTGTGAATCCTACAGTAATAATAACTCAGTCAGAATCAAGCTCTAGCTTTCCCATCTAAATCCAGTTTTCTCATACCCGGAGTCTATGCTTAATTATAGATTAATTAGGTTTTTCTATCTATAAATACATAAATTCTCAATTCTTACACTGGCAATGTACGAGAGAACTTTCCGAGGTTTCTAGAAGATTCTGTGCTGGAAGGTTCTCCCTGGGCAGCCAGGAAGCTTCTCTGTAGCAGGAACTTAGCTATCTATGCTAGTCAGGACTATTGTGCCTTCTAAAACTCTCTGCTTTCAAAGCTCCACTTTTTTTTCTCCCATGAGTAAACTGAGGTGAACAAAATAGGTTTCTGAGCACAGTAGGAGGCATAGCCTCCCTGTCTCCTCAGCCTTAATTAGGAGATTGTTTCTATTCTCAGAAGAAACACTGCAGTTCTCTTCAGGACAGGAAACATGGGAAACAACACTTCTTCCACAGGCCAGAGCCCATCATTAGAAGCAAATCCCAAGGGTTGTGAGAAATAGCTTCAAATCTCATGCACGGGGTTGTGCCTACACAGGCCATGGTCCTCTCTAGCTTTCACCCTTCATTTAGAGGTAGCAGTCCAAACCCTGGGAGATACCCCAACATTGCTTTCCCTAATCCTCTTGAATAGGTCACCTCATCTTGAAAGTTTTTTTTTTTTATGAATACTCAGACATTCATTCACTCTTGTTCTACTGTTCAGAGTATCCCCACACTTAGACTATCGGAGTCTTTCCTAGTGGTGTCCCAGATGAACCTGTAATGTCATCAACAAGGCACCCCGTTCTAGCTAAGCCCGTCAGTCCAAGCTTCCACCAGGCCTCACCACTGTTTCCCAGTGTGTGGTGGGCTCCTCCACTACCCTCCAAGCCCACCAGAGGCATAATGAGATCTAGGAAACTTTTCTGAACAGTTTATCTTTCTCCTCTGAATCAGACACATTCTTTAAGAGGTTTATAGACTTCTGCATTAAAGGTTTGGTCTGTGGAGGAGAGGTCCCTGCTAGAACACAAGCTCCAGTAGAAATGGGTCCATACCCATGTTGATTGTAAATCCCCCCCCGATTACCACTCTAGCAGCCCCCATGAACATGCTTCATATTTAGTAGCAGGAAGAAAGAACACATGAAAGAACAAATTGCCCCAAGTTTTAGGCACATCAGCAAGGAGAGGGCTCTAAAGCTTTTTTGGGGAACAAGGCCATTGCTATTCAGCCAATGCACTGATGAACCTTCTTCTCTCTTTATTCTGTAGGGATAACAACTGTCATCACCAGTGGTAACAGTGGTTATTTTTTCAAAATTTAAAGTACAAAGATCCTGGAACTACCTGGCCATAAACTCAACGTCAGACAAACATATTGGTTATTTCATCTACTGCATCCCTAATAATGGCAGAAGTTTAAGTCTACTCTTTAGAGGAGACCTTGTCTTCTGACTTTACAAAAGTCTAACACAGAAGTGAAATGTTCGCATTGCCTTACTATGAAAATCAACACAGACCACACAACTAGAAGGGTTTGCACATTGTCTGAACCCCTCATTTAACAGAGGAGCACAGCAACACAGTACTGCAGCACATACCACACCCTCATGACCCCACCCCCACAGTGTTCACTCTACAACCAGAGGTAGAGTGAAGATCCTGCCTGGGAGCCCTGACTCAATGAATCTCATGGAACAGCAGGCTGTGGAGAAAAAAAATCAACCACAGAATTCAGACAAAG